AATATATATTTTTACAATTAGATGAATATTTTATTAAAATAATCTAAAAGCTTAAAGCGAAATAAAATACAAAATATATTTTTATTGTTGAATAAGGAAAACGGTTATGTTAAAATCATCTAAAAGCTCGGAGCAAAATAAAATACATTCATTCCATTCAAAAAGAATAATAAAATATATTCATTCCCCACAAAAGAAAAAAAAAATTAATATGTAACATTATCATGTTCAGTCCTTGAATATTTATACTTAGGCTCTCGTTTTGGACATGGTATAAAATTCCCATAGCAAACATGTGATGATAAATGTTAACATCATTCTTTTTATTACTCTTTGCATTCACTATTTGACACGTACATTTAACTATCTCATTTTCCATTTAAATAATAATATATCATGTTAATTAAATTTACGTGTCAAACAATAAATGTAGAGAGAAATAAAAAAAAAGTGATATTAGTATTATAAGTCATCTTCCTAGAGCTATATGCCAAATCTTTATGAGAAAATTTGTTCCGTGTACCCAACTATATTCACATAAAAAAAAAAGTTGAAAATAATTACTTTTGAGTGAAGTGCACAAAAGAAGTTGTTGATCTAAATATTGAGTGCATATATGAGGGAGGACTTATACATAAAACGTGTGGAGGGGAATGCTTTATCCAAGTACAGCTAAATGATATATTTCAAAGCTTTGCCAAAAGAGAAAAGCAAACAAATAAGAAAAAATGGATATAGCAACAAAAACTTCCAATTCATTTTATCAAGTATTTATGTTTTAAGAGTTATTACACATCTATTATTATTTTACAAACCATATTAAAGATTAACCTTCCCTAAACATAATTATATCTAGGAAAGTTTTATAAAATGATATGCGAAAATGTCGAGATTAATAAGTTTAGTACGACTCGAAAAACATTAGGAATAGGCACTTATACAAACATTCTTGATTTTTTTCATAAAGTGCAACATTTCGATTAAACACATAAAAGTTATATATATTGCTATAATCCCACAAAATAAATAAATAAATAGTAGGAAATTATGTCATTGGATCTTACTCCAGGATTGTTGAGTGGAAAAAAAAGGTCAGTTATCTCAAATGTGTCAGCATTGAAGTAGATGTCCCACAAATCAGCACAAAATATGGCACAGCAGTGAAGAAGACATGGTCACATTGGCCCCTCAATCTTAACTCTTCCCAACACCTCTATTTAATGCTTTGCCTGCAGCTAAACATGTTGTGCTTCCCACCTCGTTCAATCCCTCGATATACATACATATATATATATATATATGTATGTATGTATGTGTATATATATAATTTCAATTTGTTTTGTACCACAATTAGCTTAACATTCAACTCCAGTTCTTTTATTAAAAGAAAAAAAAAAGTGCAGTTCTTTCCGTCATAATTAGTCCAAAATCTCAATATTGATATCATCATTAGTATCAATTATTATGCTTAACTAAGTTTCATGATTAATTGCAGGCCATACTGATCAGTCATCCCTTTGAAATTTATTGATGCGAAAATATGAAGAAATTAAAACGGGGTTTTTGAAATTATAATTTGATGAAAAATATGACCCTGTTATATCAAGAATCAGTGATAGAATCAGAAATTTTTTTCAGTGGAGACTAATAATTAAATCAAAAGTGTATAGTTTCATATATATTGGGTTTCTGAAAATAAGATTTATTTAAGTGGGGGTTAATTTGTATTAATCTAATATGATACACAATATTATATAGAAATTTTTTAAGACTAACAAATTTGTGTGGGAGCATTCACTGGCTCTGTGCATGTCAAGAAGATTTAAAAAATCGACAATTCTATCGAAATATTTTTCACATAAATTTTTAACTTTTAAAACAACCGAAATTAAAAGAGGATTGCAATATCTTTTGATCACAAAATATCAAATTCCTTAAAATACTCAACTCTAGTATTTTGGGATCAATATTGGTTAAATCAATAATGTACTCAAAAATACTTTTGAACATCTTACAAGCTCATTTTGTTGATATCGATAATTTTTCTCTTCGATCATAAACGTAATTACCGTAATATTATTAGCGCTAGGGCACCACACTCTCGATTGTAAATAAGAAAATTGTTTGAAGGTGTAATATTCAGATATTCAACTGATTAATCTAAAACTTGTGCATTGTGTTGTAATGCGAATATATACCATTCCGAAAGTGGCCTCTTTCTCTCTCTCTGTTTTTTTTTTTTTTTTTTGTGGACCCATTTCTCTCCCCAAGTGGATTGCCTTTTTGATGCAAGTGGATTCTGACATGTACAACCACCTTTGTCTGCTATCTTTTTCCTCATCCTGCCTTTTTACGTACTATGAACTGACTTTTACACCAATTAAAACGACAAAAGAATTCTGTTTTCTTCAAAAGCAGAATAAAAAAAGGCATTTTATAGGAACCGCGCACCTTTTTTTTCTTTTTTTTGATGGATCGCAAACTTTAGTGGTAACGAAAATTGTATTATTATTGTCGATGTGTCCCTCCCAAAAGGTGAAATATAAAGGAGAAGATAATATTGCCTTTAATTTTTTATCCAACTTTTTTTTATTCTCCGAATTTTAACACACTTCTCCTTTACATGTCTGTATTTTTTTTCCCTAGTGTCACCTTATCACCACGTATACTCGTTTCTCCTTTTTCATGCATAATATCTGATGTTAATTAATGATATTATTGTTCTTACATTACATGTTTACGCATATCATATTTCAAAAACATTGTGCCAAGGCCAAATATACTTGAGTTATTGTGACAACAATTAATATGTTTTTACCATACAACAAATACATATAAAGCTGTTATGAATTGGCTCAACCTCATTTTGGTTAGGCTTGACAATAAACGTCTTTGTTTGGTTGGACGAAATCATTAATCATATTTCCACACATTAATATAAAGTAAGGGTGGCAATTCGTGTTAACAAGTATTTTTAATGTTAATTTGTTTATTAATCGTATTAAAAAACATCAACCCGAATGCGACCATTTATTATTGTAAGTGTCATAGAATATCAACCTAAATACACATATTTATTATACTTGACATGATTAACCATTTAAATTAGTATGTTGAATGTACAATTAACACAATGACTCATTAGACATGATCATACTCAACCAAACAATCACCCGTTTAACACGTGTATTAATCAATTTATCTTTTCCTTAAAAATAAAATTATATCAATAAATTTAAACATTTATATTGTTTCTATTTAATAAATCATATAAACTTTTTATATTGTATAATTAGATTGTAAATGACACGTATAGTTAGTTGTGTTAGTTTTGAGTCATTTAAAGTTGAGCATTACAACTCAAACATTATTTATTTATTAATCGTGTTAATCATATGAACTAATTATGACCTATATATGCTGACTTTTTTTGGGTTTCGAGTCGTGTTAACTTGACATGATCTAAATTACTACTCTTAATATAAAGTAAAATCTAGAGGACGGAACCTTACAGATGCTCATGCTACCCAACATTTTCGTGTAATTATAATATGAGTATGTCACCAATTAGTGTATCTATATATGTGTACAACACACTTTAAGTTGTTTTTGTGCAACTGCATGCCACTGGCCTTGAGTGGAAGGCTGTGTCATTCGGCATTTAGTACACGCCATGTGGAATCAATCAAATATTGGAGAGAACGAAAGCTTGGTGACAAAAAGAGAAATCAGAAACGGCTTGTCCAAATAAATAAATAAGCATGCCTTAACTGATGCGATCTTCTACAAATTTTTTGTTAGGTATAAATCCTCTCCAACTAAGTTACTTTATCATCACTTAAATACTCGAAAGGGCCAGTATTAGGGAGGAGAAAACGTGTTTAATTAATTACATTTTGCGTAAAGTTAAGTATATCAAAAGTCAAATGAACTTTCATGGGGTTGTCACTTTTTCCACCTAATTGATCTTATTTGAACTTTTTTCGATATCTAGCTAGTTAAAAGCTTCGTTGCTTGAAGGAATCTAATGATATTATTCTTCTTCTATTGGGTCACGTATTCTAAATCAGAAATACTAAAAGAAAATACCAAAAAGAAATGTGATTAGTGGAAAGTGGTAGTCACTTTCAGTACCAACTTACATGTTTTAGGGTTTTATAACCGTTTTATGCATTTTACCTTCAAGAACGTACTAACTTAAACTTGTTTGGTTTCATTGTCTTATTCTTGGGGATTTGGAGCATTGAAATCTCATGCCAAAAGAGAAAATGACAAAAGGAAAAGTAGGAGAGAATGCATTGGTTTGATGGATATATATATATATATATATATAAAAAAAACTTTCCCTAAATACCAATGAGCTTGAGCTGAAGATTTAAAGCGTGACGCATGCGCTTTTTTGCTTTCCCTAATATCAAAAGAGGTTATATCATGCATATTTCGTTTGCTAGTCAGGTAAATTGTACAAAATATTGATACAAGGTGGGTGTGAGGTAAATTGGGCCTAAAAATGGCCCATCTTGGGGTTGGACCATTTATACGTGTCACAAGTATGAAGTCTATTTAAGAGCAAGTATGAAGTCTATAGATGGAGATTGGAGAGGATTGGGATGAAGTAAAGGTGATGAGGCTGCACTTAAATGTTTGGTAATATTTTGTCCACGTGTGACGTCTTTATTGCTGAATATAATGAAGTGCTTTGTCTTAATTTTACATTATTTTTCAGACCCAAACGATTCTCGTTAGAAATTCATTTGAAACATTTGACAATTTATTGGAAACAGAAACACTTGGGTTTACAAGCAGTCCTGAAGATCAAATTTCCAAACAACTAGGAAAATACACAATGAATTTATGGGATGTTGCCAAGCATAAAGCGTAGCGTTGAAGAAAAAGAATGTTATAAATCTAAAAACAATAATTGCTTATGTTCCAATGACCAGTGTTGGTGAAGAAAAGTTGATGAGCACAAATTTGGACCAAACTAGAAAAACCCACATGTTGAATGAATAAATATAAAATCTGTAACATTTTTCAATTTCTAAGTGGACAAAAACCAGTTTCTCTATCATGCAAAATCCAAGAACTATTTCTCAAGTATATATAGAATGGGAATCAATAGCAAAACTGACTCACCAAAAATGCAGAAGCTAAGATGTAAATAACCTATTCATCTCTTCCACCAAGCCAAACCCCAGCTAATTTATATTAACACCAAACCCTAAAGCATCTAAATCGCGGATCGGAAGGACCTTCCAAATCTGATCCCTAAACCCCTTTCAGTCCTGCAAGCTTTTCCTAGTATTCACATTCTTCAACAAAATATAGACGTGGTTATTTACACTATGGCCAATCATGAATGTCAATAGTTAGTAACCACTATAGAACTCCTCCCAAAACTCTTCTCAGATCAGCTTTCTGTTCTGCAGTAAGCCTTGAAGGATATCTGACATCGAATTTGATCCTCAAGTTTCCTTTCCTTCCAGGCTCCTTCGACATCGGCATTCCCTCATTTTGGACAACTTTCTCAGCCCCGGGCTTGATGATATCGTTTAGAGGGATCGTAAGGTTCCTTCCATCTAGGGTGATGAGGTCAAGGGTCTTTCCAGTGAGGGCTTCCAATAGAGTTATCTCCTGGTTCACCACTAGATCATTACCATCCCTCTTGTAAAGAGCATGAGGTTTCTCATCAACAACAAAAATTAAATCTGCGGGAATGACACCAGGCTCCTGGTTACCCTTCTCAGGAAAAGTTATCTTTGTGCCTTTCTTCCATCCAGGTTTTATCTCAATCGTTAGTATTTCCTCAACAGTTCGAGACCTACTGCAAGAGAGTTGCTCATGAGTCCAAAGTAATTGCAATAAAGGTAATTATTCACGGAAAATTACAGAATTATTCAGACACCTAAAGGAAACTGGCAAAGTCCAGTGCCGCTACTAGAATCGTGCATTTCTAACAAATAGATGTAAGATTTACCAAGCAGGAAAAAAAGGGCGTCTATGACTTGTCTATGTCAAGTAACTATGATAGAAAATAAAACTTTAAAAAAAAAAAAAAAAAAAAAGAAGGAATGCAAACAATAATTTTTCATGAGAAATCTAGTGTAGTTTTAATTAAGCATCAGAGCACAAAATACTATATAAATGTTGACAAATACTTTTTTGTTCCTTTATGCCGAAAAGTATGACGGCATATGCTTAGAACATATGATATAAGTACTCGGTCACAAATTTCCAAACAAGTCCAGTATATACAATTAAAAAGATTGATGGGACAGCAAACTTAGTCAGCTCCGATCTGGCAAAGTACAAGCTAGGTGTAAAATATAAAACTTCAGAACAAACTGAATCAAGGAGCTCTGATATGTCGTCTGGACATTGACGAACGCTTTATTCCACAAAGTAATGAACTAAAACCAAGTACTGGCGTCGGTAGCAGATATCTATCAAACTGTGACTCCCCTTTATGCATCCTCCTAGTACCGTGCTCCTTTTATGTGTGTCAAAATATTTTCCATTTTCTTTTTCTTTATCTAAATGTTTAGAGAACAACATCTTGTCTTCATTTGGAACTTTCAAATGGTTGCTTAACTTTCAGTCCTATCTATTCGAAATGCATGAAAAAACGTACTACACATCTTTCAAACTCATTTATAGGGCAACGTTTAACATTTGAGTTCAAATATTTGTAAGTTTTTAAGCATTTATGTTAGTTTAACATGTTTTATTTTGTTTTCATAGGTTGAAGCTAAAATAGAATAAAAGGAGCGAAAATTTGACTTCAAAACATACTTCAATATTTTGGGCATAACTTTGTCATCTGAAGTCCAAATGAGGTGATCTTTGTGGCATTGAAAAGATAAGAGATAGAGCCACAACTTCCATGAAGACACCAAACGCTAATTCGGCCATATAGAAGGCGAAAATCCTCCTCAAAGTCAGAAATCCGCTACAGCGGGCACTACAGCGGGCGCTGCGGCGGAAAAAACACCCGCTGCAGCGAGTTTGCCTGCGCCACTAGGGTTTTTTTTTTAAATCCTAACGGCACTGCAACGGGAAATTGATCCGCTGCAGCACCAATACACGTAATGCTGTCATTTTAGGGCTGATTTGAGGGGGATATAAAAGGCAAATGTTCTAAGAATCAAATTGGTGGAGGAAGAGAGGAAAAAGATGCATAAAATCCCTAGAGAAGAAGGAAGGTTAAGTTGAGTTCGGAAGGCCAATTAATTCGGGTAATCAAAATTAAGTTGCTTAATGGATATTTGATTCGGTTAGGCTAATAGGGATATTGTTTAACTGGGTTTTGCATACTATTTTGCCCGGCACTCGGAAGAGGGAGTGAAATTACCTTCGAAAACGTAAGATTAATGAATTGAGTGGAATTAGCTAGCATTGGCTTGATAGGATGAACATAGAAATAATAAGGTGAAGTTAAGTCCCTAGTACATGTGTGCATAGAAGTTTCCATATTTTATCTTGTTTTAGTATTTATATTTGTTTTAGTTCTACTTTTATTTCATTAAGATTTGGTTTGCTAGATAAAGTTAAGTTACGATAATTGCGGTACTTAGCGTCAATTTAACACTCAATCCCTATCGAGACAATACTCACTCACCCTACACTATAAAAACTTGACACCGTACGCTTGCGGGTGAATAAGTTTTTGGCGCCGTTGTCGGGGATTGACGTTTTAGATTGTTGCTAATATTGTGAGTAAGTAGCTTGATTTTCATTTAGGTGTTTCTTTACTTATTGATTATTATTTTGCTTTACTTTTCCTTGTTTTTAATTAGAATGTTTTTTATAGTTTTTATGTTGTTTTCCTAGTTTTTATTTATTTTGAGTGCTTTATTTTTGCGATGTACTTGTAAATGTCACATCGATTAGTCCTCTTAAGATTTGCTCAACGAGACTCGGAGCCGTTTTATAGTGCTTGGGATAGATATAAGGAATTGCTCATTGGGCTCCCCGAGCATGGACACTC